GATTAAACTTCATGAGGACAACATTGCTGAACTTAGGAAGAAGTTAGAAGAGTTGGAGAAAGGAAGAGAGTTATAAAGCAATGAATTCAACAGGGTGAGAAAAGAGGTGAAAAAAGAGGTGAGATCTCACCACTTCACCTAAATTTATTTTTGTGCTATGTTTTCATACGTGTGAGGGTGGTGATATCATTAATTTTTATATAAATGACAGAACAAAAATAAAGCATATCTACTCAACAGGAATGAGACCCTTACTGACTATGTATTCGTTTAATGCTTGATGAAAACAATGGTACATATTATCGTATGGGTATACACAACGTCTGTTTCCATCGTCGTCGTATATGTAGAGCTCAAATCCAGTCCAACCTTCTTTTGTACAATATGTAGCTTTATTTAAGTATGCATTTATGTAGATAAGGCAATTTTCTTCATCGCTCCAGAAATAATTTTTGTTCTTTGTTGAAATAGTTTTCGTTCCTCTGCGACCATAAGGAATGTATGCAATGAACTTTGCGTCATAAGGGATTGTAATATATTCAGGGTTTCTTTCATCGTCAATGGGTCTGTCTTTGTTAAAATGCATGTTTCTCAGTTTTACTTGAGTTTTGAATAGTTCACGGAAACGTTCTGGGAAAGAGTCATAGTAAATGTAGTCGGACATGTCTTTGTAATGAAATAAAAAATTTTAAAAAAATAAAATAAGGTTATTTTTATTTAGTGAGGACGGTAGTGAATTCGTTAGTGAAGTCGTTAGTGAAGTCATTAGTGAAGTCGTTTATGTGTCAGATGGTTTTGTAAATATTTAAGGTTAAGTTGGTGTTATGGTTGTGTTGTAAAATATACGTTACTGGTTTCGTAAAGTGTCAAAACCGCTAAGTGGTGTACGGAGGCGCGCAGTGCCACAGTACACGACTTAGGGATACTAACTAGGATTTAAAGTTTTCCAATTTTCAAAAAGATGCAGCCGAGCGTTTGCGTCCAAGCACCATACGTAACCCCATGGATGAGGATGTGGACAAGTTAGTTTATTGTAAAATATTGATAGCAAACCCATATCTACATATTCTTTTATTTCCTTCTCAAAAGGCCAGAAGGAAACGTTTCTCTCTTTGTCAGTGTAAGTGTTTGTTGATATTTGAACTGTAAAATGATGGATAAAAGGCATTAGTCTCCATATTCGAAGCATGAGAATGTAAGACTCGCCGTTATATAAAGTAACATCCCAAATTTTCATATTTCTTAATGAACCGCCATAATTCGGGATACTTAACCGGAGTTGAATAAGCATAGTGGGCATAATCAAAAGTATTACTGTGGTCAACAAGAGCTTTGGCTTATATAACTTCATTAAAATCCTTCTAATAAGTCACTTTTTTTAATAATATTAATATAATATTGGCATATCGAAAGGAACCAAATTTTATACGGAGGAATTATAGTAGATATTGCAATTATGGATTTGAAACTAAACAGAGAAATCTTCTCTTGGATCTAAGAAAGGCCTTTCGTTATGGAATTAAATTAGGTATCATAAGTATGAAATGCTTATCCTTTCTATAACTATTGCGCTAAGAGAGAAATTTACAGGAGACACACTTGATTGTGCGACTTATCATTTATAAACATATTCAAGAAATTTTGATTCACTCTCAATAATAATTTTTGCTGAAAATTCTAAATGTGCACTAGCAAACAGCTTCAAATACAATATTCCTAGTCCAAAAACTATATCATCGAAAATTAGCAAAATATTGATCAGCAATTTTTTCTTTTACCGATATTGAATCCACATTTGTAACGAAAATAACGGTAATACGTTAAAAAACATGAACTATGTTAATTAAGGAGAATTGCCATTGGAATCTACCTTAGTTTTTTTTCAGATTAAGCTGATAGCGTAATATTCAGATATGAAAATGCACCGAAATTTTTACATTATGTTTCTCGAAGCTAGTAAAAGACACAAAAATGAGTATCAAAATATAAAAGTAGTTGTTTCTTCATAAACTCTCTATCGATGCTGATTAAAAAGAAATTCATATCGCTAAAATTAAAGAGTCTTCTGAAGGAATTGATTCTGATCTTAATGCAATTAATAACGACGCTAAAGTATATTACCCAGATTTGCCTTACTTTTACCACCTCTCTAAAGCTGGGGACACCGCCTATCGTTGGGAGTAGCTATTAAATAGAACCACCAAGGGTATTTTTCGAACTGCTGGTGTAGTATAGTGGAAATATCGGACATTTTGATTCATTATGCCAAGGTTTGATTCCCATTTAGCTGAATTTTTTCTTTTTTGGATCATGAATTTTTTTTTGGGTCACTATAAGATTTGTTTCATGTTCTAAATCTGCTGCATATGTAATCTATTTTTATTTACCTATTTTTTAAAAATCTATTGGATTGCCAAATTTGAATATATTTAAAATCATAAAAATCCAAAAAAACTATAAATATATGTTTTATGCATAGTGCCGATACTCAAATATCAGATTACTTAGATCCATGAATAATATCCGAATTTTTTTTCTTAAAATTAAACTTCAAAACTTCTTGCAATCTTATTCTTCATCAATTGTAAATTTTTAAAACCATTTTTTAAAATAATTTTGCGTAAATTTTATTCTCATGTTGTTTTAATCGAAAATTGATACATTTTCAAAAAAATAATATTGACTTATGAAATTCATTTTTAAGGTGAAATAGTATTGTTTTTATTAAAGTATATGAATAATATATAAAAAATTAATGAATAATATAAGCAGATTTTTAGTTTACAAAACAAATATGAGCAATGCAATTTCAAACTTTTTGCTGGCAATTTCGATATTGCTCAAGTTTGTAGTATTTGTGATACCTATAACATCGGCTTAATCAAAATTCGATTTTTCTTATGAGTTATTGAGAAAATTTGATTGCAATGAGAAGGATTTCGACGTTTTTGATAAACTAAGAGCTGAGCTTTAGGGGTTCAGTTCATTTATGGCTGTAGTTTGATGCGTAGATCTCTTTTTTATTGTAAATTCTTTCAGCATGGAGATCGAGAATGAATCTTTTGAGAACTTTATGAGTTTTTACACCCGTAAAGAGGTCCTTCGAGGAAAGATAGTCCAGACTACATGAAGATGTGGGTTAACCAAAAAAATCCGATGGTTTCCCCATATTCATGTAGATCTTCGAAAAAATGAGCACCAAAAAAGCCAAAAAAATAGGCTTTTTATTGGATTTGTACACTAGATCAATAATCTATTTAGGATCTGACACTCTTTTTAGCCAGAGATATGAGGTCCTTTCTAGGAAAACGATCTATTCATCCATAAAAAAAATGAATTATCGTTTTCCCCAGAAATTACATGGGGAGTGGTAAAAGTAAGGAAAATCTGGGTATATCGGTTTAGGATTTATGAAAGCCAATATTGAAGGAAACGGGTAAAGAACCATCCTTTAAGCAATAATTTGAGTTAAAAAGTTTAGACGTGTTTTTAAGACCAATCATATCATAAATGAATGAGTACTTCGGTATATATGAATTAATCACCATATTTTCCAAATAATATTCGAGATTTTACGATGGGTAGTGGGGGACTGTATGCAGTAAATTTAAAATTGATAAATTGGAGATAATAAATCATTTTGCAAGCAGACAGGTCATGTGATTTATTGAATCGTTATACATTCATCAATGAAATTGAAAGGAAAGAAGTAGATACCCTTCATAGATAATGTAAATCGTCATTTTTGTCAATAAAAGTGCCAAAATCTCATACCGGGGGCTAATTCTAATGCTGCTCCATACACATCGGCAGTAATTTGAATTCAACAAGCCAAAAGTGCACCAGCTTTGCAGTCTAAGATATTGAACAGTGGGTCAAACCCGTTATTTTGGAACAAACTTGATAGTACGCCCATATATCAAGAATGAATTTGTTTTGCTTTTTTTAATTTATATCATGCATTACACTAATACCTCTTGACTATCAAAGTATCAAATATTCTGTAATTAAACCTAAGTCTCTCATTTGTTGAGAGATCGCGCAAGAACTATGTAAAAATTAGACTACTTGTAATGAAGGACTATATTTAGGTCATAGAAAGCAAATTTACTCAAATAAAATAATTGCTTACTGAAGTTTTTAATTAGATTCGAGATTTCAGAAGAACTTTGTTTTAAGATATTATATATGGATTTTTAACACAAAACAGCCAATAAATTCATTTGCGTTTCGTTTATGATGACGTTCTTGTGTCAAATTTGATGAGTAACTTAGCCAGAGAAAGAGAGAAAAATAGGTTACCATTTAAATACCAAGATTATCCTTCAAAGAATGATCAGTGTCTCTCAATTCCGGGCAAAATTGCAAAAATTAAATATTAAACATCTATAATAACAAATTGTATATTTAATATGGATTCAGTTGAGAAGCGTGAGCATGCTCAATGATTTCCCCTTTGATACGAGAATTGTCGTATCAAAAATTAAGAATAATCAGTTTTAATATAATTTTGTCAAAAACTACCACTTTGCCAGGAATTGAGAGGCGCCGAACATGTTTTGAAGGGATTCCTTGGCATAAAATCAATTCCTTGGGGAAATTTGCATACGGTATTTACATTATAATAACCATCCCACCATTATATTATATATCCAAAGTCTCATGATACTAACTGAAAATGGTCCTGAGTTGCATGTTATGAAGAGGAGATTACGAGGATGGCTTTACATCTGAAAACACTCCGCAAATGGTAAAATTTTCGAAATTAAATATATTGTTTTTAATAATAGTTTTCAATTACAAATATAAATGATTCAAGATTTGAGAATAAATTGTGTAGTTCTGAATTCAAGAAGGATGTCAAATTTAATTTCTATTCCCTTTGATTTTTATTAAGATAATATTTATACATCCTACAAAATAAAAAAATTATATTTTATTAAAATATTATTTTTGAAAATTCTGTGATTTCTTCCAAAAATTAATAGATAATCAAATTCATGAAATTTGAAGAGTTTCAGCTTAATAAACTTTGGCGAACTAGCCTTATAATTCTCATTGGTTTGCCAATATTATGTTTTTTCTTTCAAGTTGAGAAAGATGAAATATTAGTGAAAATATCTTTACAAGTTACTAATTTAATCGAACATAAAATTTATTATATCGCAAATTCGGTCCGCAACATCAATTTTTTCCCTAATGAAAACTTTGATCATGTTCTTCATTTCAGAGATAATTATAATTATCCTGATACTATTAAAAAATTTAATGGAAAATTCCCAAATCAACAATTCCCTCCTTACAGTTTACCAATCGATTGGCAGTCATACAATATTTCATATGCCTTTTTAAGAAATGTGCATGTTTCACGTTCTCCTTCAATAATTACTCCCAAAGGTAGATATGCAGACACACCATTCCATTGGCTTCCTCAAATTCAAGGTCCAACTACTGGAAAAGTAGTTTATCATTTCGACTACGCAATTGCACCAGGACACTCTTTCTGTGATAGCTTCGGGCATTTTCATATTGATTATTTCCCATGCATACTTATAATGCCTCAAAAGATTATCAAAACCTATAAAATTCTCAATGTACCAAATCTCGAATTTATTCATGAAGCTTTCGTTATAATTGGTGTTCCCAGAGAGAACCGAATCCCTCCACTACAAATCAACGAACTCGCATTCTGCGACATAGTAATTTATCCTTTTACTATGAATTACTATGAATTATGCCGCAAGGTTTTCCCCAAATTATGATTCAAAAACTATACCACGAATATTTTAAACTAGATGAAATCAAAGCAACAAGAAATTGCATAATAAACAGGAGAGATACAAGAGTATGGTATAATTGTAAAAATTTACTTTCTGCTCTGATAGAGAATTATCCGCAACTCAAATGGGAAATTGTCGAAGACCTTCATGGATTAAGCGAATCAGCAAAAGTTTATGCTTCAATTAAATTTTTAATGACTCCTTCTGGTTCGAATCTTTTCCATTGTTTCTTAATGCACAGAGACTCAGTCATACTTACTGTTGAAGGAAATGTACATGATTGGTCTTCTATTCTCTCGATCCTTGCATGCGGAATTCATCACATTATATTTCAGAGTCCGAAATTAAACCATGTAAAAGGATTTCCTGGGTTTGATGTTGACGTGGGTCATTTTGTAAAAGCAGTCGGATTTGCTGTCAGATATTTAACACAAGGAGAATTTCCAAGTGAAGAATTAATTTTTTAGTGAGAGATAACCATCTTTCATTTACTAAAATACATCGTTTATTATAATTTTCCGCTAATATCGGCCTGCAGAAGTTTCTTTGATCAAAGTGAAAAAAAAATTAAAAAGAAACGATAATTTTACGTTATTTATGTAACGTACACAATTCTTTGATGACGCTTGATCCTATCCGTCGCCTCCTTACAATGGGGCATGATGTTGCCCAAATGCCAATATCCCATTTCCCTGAATGCAAGAAAGTCTGCTTCATCTGTGTCAACTGTTTTAAGTCTTATAGAGGAAATCTCGGTGTCGCCCCAATTAATGACTCTGTTTCATTCGCGAAGCTTATGAAGAACTTCGACTTCGAAATTTACATTCTCCAGACACCTCATAAGAGAAATTTCTTGACAATTTTCGATAAAATCTTGCAAAACACCACACAGCAACTTGTCTTTTACTATGCTGGTCAACCCCTTGTAGACTTGGATTTAACTGATGGAAAGGATATTTACCACTTCAAATTCGATGACGGCGTTATTCCACAAGTTGAAGTCGTTCAGCACATTGCAGCGAACAAGAATACCGAATCCGAACTCTTCTTGATCACCCATCGTGCTCCAAAGGGCTCAATCTTCGCGTTTGGAGATGGAACAGTTGAAGGAGAGAAAATGCCACCAAAATGCGTCTCCATCTGTGCTGTTCGTGACGCTCAAGCAGCAATGAACCAAACAATGACGATGGCCAATGATGAAGGCATTTTCACCTACACTTTATGCAAGGATATCAAAGAAATCCGCGATGCAACACCAAACCAGATTGAGCAAGCAATGAGAAAGACAATTGCTGACTATGGACATGTAGTTGCTGTCGGTCTTACAACACCAGAAATGGGCGACAAGCCAATGTTCCAAATTGAATTCGATTAAAAATAAGCAATTACCCTTTTTTTAAAATTTTCTGATGCTTGGTCATGCTTTAATCATATAATAATAAAATTTTTACAATTATATTTTGGTGAAAAAGTATCCGATAAGGGATTTCTTGTCGAGGGGAATTCCAGGGTCATCGATCCTTTCTGCAAGAGCTGCAGGATAAACAATCTTCTCTCTGTCGATTGCCATAAGGAATGGCATCAAAGACGAGAACTCAATGACATCTGGTGCAAATATCAAAGGCGCTGCTCCGTTTAGAACCTCTGCAGAAATTTTCTCAACTTTTCTTGTTACAACGCTAATTGTACTTTCGTTTGGATAGGATATGAATGCTCTCAACTGCTGTGTGTCAATCTCTCCTTCGTCATCCGTGCACCAGAACTTAAGTGCCTGGCCACTTTGCGAGTAAACAAAAGGCTTTGCGTCATCAATCTGGATATTTCCTCTTGCGATTGCCAGTGCAATGAGTCTGTCGATGTCATCTGTTGTCTTTCTTGTTATTTTGATGATATTTATTGCTGCCTTCGCCGCGTCTTTGTCGTTACTTGCGAGGAGTTCCTTTACAATCATCACTGGATTCACGTAATCAGGCAATATCTTGAAGAAGTTAATGAGAGCGTTGCAGGGGAACTTTTCTCCAGAGCTGAGACATGCCATTGTGTATCTGTGGTAAAGTTCCTTTGTATCATCTGACAACTGCTCTTTGTTCGCTTTGATCGACTTGTAGAGCAGTTTGGAGCTGTCGTTGAAAACGAGGAGAGTCAGAAGAGACTTATCTCTCACTTCTGGTGGGAATGTGTGTATTATCTGCGAGAAAAGCGAGTCAGTCATTGAGAAGTGGTCGTGGAGACCGTTTGAGAGAGAAGAGTCGTACTCTATTTTGTGTTTGTCGTAGAATGAGATGACTTGCTGGTAGCAGATCCTGAACACGTCAATGGATGTAGAGTTAAGCATCAATGCAGAGCCAATGATGTAGACTGCTTCATTATCAAGTAAGTGAGGTGAAACAGTCAAAACGTGGTCGAATGACTCATCATAAAAACCTCTCGCCATCGCTGCAAAAACGAAAGAGAGGCACAGTTCCGGATTAACTTTGAGAAACGCGTGCCACGTTGTTTCATCCATTATTCCGTGATCCATGCAGTAGCTCATTGCGTTGCACAGAACAGAGCTTGAGTCTCCGTAGTTAGGGAAAGTGTTTCTTATTATTTCTCTCCTGATTGGGAACTTCCAGAGTTCTGGGTTGACTTGGACAGGGAATATCGGTCCGTATATCTTAACGAAGGTGTCATTCATCAGAACTCTTATGTCCTTCACCCAGGGCCTGACTACGTCGAATATGCACTGCATGACTGGGTTGACGATTCCTGATCCAAACACTTTTATCGAGGCCTCAACGAAGTCGTTTGCGAGGTAAGAAACGACAGAGTAGATGTAGTCTGTCAGGGGAATGTCGCGTGGTATGTCGACAAACGTCATGTGGTCAATGGAAAGTCCCTCCAGAGAGTCCCTTATCGACTTGCAGTTTATGTAGGAGACAGAGTCAGCGATGCAGGCGAGGAAGAGAACGAACACTTTGTCCTGCATCAGATCGAAGTAAGTCAGAGCGAGTTGTACAAACAGGATGCAGTTCTGGATGGAAGTAACAACAGGGATGGACATTATCATTGGCTCGATCAGTGTCGGCTTTATCTTCGCGACCTCTTGGAAGAAAGGAGCGCACTCTGCGAGCGTGGAGTAGCAGGGCTGGATGTCGCCAAGAATCATCGCGCGTTTGAACGCTCCTTTTGCTTGTATCTCTGTGATAAATGGGAGGAGAAGCTGAAGGGTCGTCAAATACAGCCTGAGAGTGAGAAGGTTGTGGTGAGGCAGCTTCAGCTCCGATTTATTTGTGGAGAGAGCCTTGAGAGCGTTGATTCCGGTGATTCTGATGAAGTCGCTGAGCTTCTCGAACTGGTCCCTCTTCGGATTTGGAAGATGCTTCAGGATTTCGTCCGCTGCAAACGCAAACATGAGGGATGATGACGGAATGTCGTGCTGGCCGTGGATGTCGAAGCCTTTTGTAAATGTCTGGTACTCGCTCATCAGGATATCGAGCGAGGCCTGGAGATGCTCGACTTTTGGAGGTTTAGGCGACGACAACATGCGTTGTACCATGAATGAAATGACTTTTATCTTGTTGTCTGGAGAAATCTTGCTATTTGCAATCTTTTCTAGAACTGTGTCGCGAATACGCTCGTTTGCTGATGCAAGTCCTATGATGGATGTGTTGTCGAGGTTGTTCAGAGCCTCGTCGAGCATTCCTGTGATGTCAGTCAGGCCAATCGCTGCAATCACGGCGAATTTGCCTGGAGAAAAGCCTTTCTCGCAGTCATTCAGGAAGATCGACTCCATGGCCGATCTCAATTCGATGGACTGCGATATCTGGGAGGAACATAACTTGCAGACGTAGTTAATTCTGTTTACATCTGGAGTTAATAAGATGGATGCATCGTATATGGTCTTCTTAGGACTTCTGTCTGTCATTTCTTCTGGAGTAAGGAAGAATTTTGCAGATAATATTCCACTGATGTTTTTCGCAACGAATGCATAAGAAGGAAGGGACTGGAAGCTCATTTTCTCCCAGTTTGGATGCGTAATTGCGAAGAGTTCAAGAGAAGTCTGCATCAGAAGAAGAGCTGTAGAGTTCATCTCAGGAGAAGCATCGGAAAGAAAGAGATACGCAATGGCGTCTATCTTCTGGAACTGAAGCTCAGTGATGCACTGCCTTTGATAGGCTGGATCTGGATAAGTTAACAAAAATTGGAATAATGAGGTAAAAAGTCCGAGAAGATCGAGCGAATATATGTTCTGGTAAAATTTGGAGATGTTTGTTGTGAGAGAGTTAATTGTTGGGGAAATCATCTCGCGATTTGTAACGCAAGTCTTGAAAACAGACTCTGATGGGTATCCGCTGATAATCAACTCGCACACGACGTCAGATACTTCGACATTGTATGTTTTTGGCGTTAAAATTGTCTTGAGACTGGTGAAATTCTTTTCAACAACTAATCTGTGAATAAACTGCGCCCTGGTGATAGGATCAAACTGTTCATCGCATGCTATGAGCTCTGGGCACTGACTTTTTCCGATTTGGAAAAGTAAGTTTGTATATTTTGGATAATTCTTTTTGATATCGATTCTGATTTTATCGTAGATAAATAGAGAGATGTCTGGCTTTGGCTTTATGAGTGGTAATATATCTGCAATGTTGTCAAATTCGAGTTTGATTTGTAAGCCTTTTGCAAAAATACATAAAGCTTGCTTGTAAAACTTCGGCGACTTTTCGAGAGCTTCAATTATTGCTTTGGAGTGCTTTGGAACTTTCTCATTAATGACATGGCAGCAAGTTCCTGCAGCAAGACAAATTAACTGCTTGCAGAGAGCAGAATGCTTAAGCTTACCTCCCATTTTAGGTTTAACGAGGTTGTAGAAGCGAGTTACTATTTGATCATTAGAATCGGGTACATTAATATTAAATGACAAAATGAAGTCAATCAAGGCAGCTCCGTATGTATCTCCTTCTTCATCATCGCATAGAACTTTGATTTTATCGAATATTTCGCGAAAATATTGACAAAGAGCATCAAAATTTTCTTCTAATTTGATATGTTGCAAAAATTTCAGATGGATATCCATGGGAGAAGAAATTATGCACTTAATGACTTCTAGAGCATCGTATTTTATTAGTTGTGAAGCAAGATAATACCAGTTTTTTTCTGATGTGTGCCCAGACGTAGTATCTATCATAAACAGTATCATATCTTGTCTAAACAAGTTGATTTCTTCTGAATTGGGCTGTATTTTGTTTAACAGATAATAAATAAGATTTTTTTTGAAAAATTTTATTGGTCTTTGATTTTTCACCATTATGCAGGCTCCCTGAACTTGCATTAGTAAATCCTTGTAATTTACGCTATATTCGTAGAACCCTTGTTCAAATTTCAGATGAAATAATTGAATTTTACTTTTGATTTGGCTATAACGAATTAAATTTATGTCATTATCCGGGTCTTCTGTTTCCCTTATAAAATCTCCTGCATCCTTAAGTATTTCATTGATTGTTGAACTGACATCTTGTTTGCTCATTTTTCTTTTCTGTAAAGGATGTAAAATTTGTCAAATTTTGGAATAAAATCGATTTTTGAGTGATAAAAAATATTTCATAAATATTTCCGTATTATAAGATTGTGAATAATTCGTGCCATTTGTTTATTTGTAAACTATTCAATTATTTCAAATTTATTTCTCAGAATAAAATAAATTTTATGGGCAGGATTAATGTTACATATTTAGAATACAAACAAAATATTAAAACAAGTAAATGTTACTTATATGATACTGCTAGATTAGAAGTGTGAGGCTTTTCTAGCTTGTTCTGATAAACTTTTGGAGCTAATTTTTGGCTAAAAGTTGGAGGGAGTGGTGAATATTCAGGGAGTTCATATATATCCCATTTTTTAATGCGATCTTTATGATTTATCTGACGTTTTGTAGGGTATTTTTGTTTAGAGGGTTGATAAGTTTGCAAAACTGCTAGCTTAAGTTTTCCTGCATATTCAGAAGTTTGACTTGAAGCTAATTTGTGGATTTCATGCACTGGAGATGAATATGGCGAATTTATAGGGTTATTTAATTCTTTTTGAACTAAAAAAGGAAAATGGGATACCTGAGTGCTTGAGAATTGGTTAGAATGTATAGCTTGATATTTTAAGAGATCATTTATCGGGGATAAACGCTTTGTAGAAACTCTTTTTACAAGATCATTATTGAGTAATTTTATTGCACTATGAATTCTCAAATAGCAGGGCAAGCAGCAAGTGACGTCTTTGTCTATAAGAGTTTGATCAATTTCTTCTATTCGACGAATAAGAAAATTAAATAATTTCTTTTTGTTTAAACTAGGAAATGCTTGTATAGATTTGTAATATAAAATTTCGAGTAATTTCAGATGATTTTGAGGATGCGAACAATTTTGAGTACTTAAAAAACATTTACCATTTGGAACTTGCTTTGATACTTCAACGACAAATATATTATTAAGTCTTGAAGCATCTTTGGATTGCAATATAGCATTTTCAAAGCATTTATCTGAAAATTCCAAAATCGAATTCCGGTTAAGCCATATTTGATTATAATCATTAATTCCAAATACTAAATTGATTTTCTGAATTGGGCGCCCAATAACACGAGTGATAGATTCAACCAGAGTATTGATAATTGAGATAACGTATTTTGACATTGGGTCATCTTGACCTTTCACAATACGGCTGTCTTCGTAAGTTATTTCTCGTCCATATTCTTCTGGAAAATCTTCTTCTTCATTTTCTAAATCTACCGATTTTGAAGTTCCATTTTCAATTAACCAATATGTTTCTGACCCATCTTCTTCTGTAATGCATAACGGACGCATAAAAAATGATTTTTTGGAAGGTATAACGCTACATGTTGAAATAACACAATCCATAATAAATTTGAAAAGTGACACTCTAATTTTTTAAAAAAATTGTCAGTAAATGACTTTTAACAAGTGGAGGCCATATTATAATAAACCTCCCAGAACTCCTGATCCAAAATTTAGAGCACCAAGTCAAGATGATCCATCTGATCGACTCCATCAAATCCCTTGTAAGTTTTGGAAATTTGGAAAATGTAACTGGGGTTGGAGCTGCCATTTTTTGCATGGCGATATGCCAGAAGATGATCCTCGTCGCCCAGAATACAGAGGACCGCCCGTTGACTTCACTCAGTTTCCACGTCCAGTGATTTCATCTCCACATTTCATGAATACTTCACCAATGCACTTGGATGATCAAAATAGGGTTCATCCTTATAGAAATCCTGTTGTTGAAGTTATAATTTCCCAACCTGCTTTAAAATCTCAATTACCATCTATAAAAGAACAGTTACAAGCCGGATGCATTGATATCTTGTACTCAGACTCTCCACCGATGACGAAAGAAAGAGCGTCAGAACGAATGAATGAAAAACTGAGTGATTTCATTCTTTATATTGACTATAATGGAATTCTTCTCTTTCCTGGAGCAATTCCTATTACAACTTCCAACGCATATAATACAATTCAGAATGAATGGAATTACAAAAACGTAAATTTAACACAAGAACAACTTGAATTATTAAGTTCTACTGAAATTGAATCGATTTTACTTCGCTTAGCACCAGATGTCATTGACAATCTGAATACAAACATTGTAAATCTCCAAAATGAAACAGCAAATGCCCTTTCCTCAACGAGAACTGTCAACTGCCAATACGGACCAAATGAATTGCATGAACTTCAGAGTAAACTACAGCAATTCTTCAGCAAGCTAAATATCCTTAACTCGATGCTTGCAGATTTTCCTATTTACACTAATAATCAGAATCTGCAGGGAGTTGTTGTTCAAGTCTGTCCTCCTCTACCAGGAGGAATTTCTTTGTCAGCTCAAAAAGTTTTCTCCTACATCATAGGCCGCTCTTTAACACAAATTCACCTTTGTCTTTCGCACGTTCACAAAATACTCAACGAATACAAACAGCCAAAGGTTTCTTTCGCTCCCCCAACTCCGTCAATACACCAAACTCCGCTTTGCTCACTCAACTGGGCTGTTATTTGCGGAGAACCTCAAACTCCAAACATCGAGTACGGAAAAAGGCTCGAGCCAGAGGTTGCAGTTGACACGCCAACAGAATATACGATTTCCTTTAGAAATCGTATTGAGACTGGATTTGCTCCATTTGATCCTTCTCGTAATTAAGTTTTTTATAATAAAAATTATTTTAGGTTTATTTATTGATTGTATTATTATTTAGTATAGCAAATGATGTTATTTCACACCACGAAGAATTTTGCCCTCCAATGGCTTTGTTCGATTGCACCTCACTAATTGAAGATTTTTCGGACGGCTTTTTATGCATTTGAATTTGAGAGAAACCGCCTGGTTAAATGAGTGCAGCGACATCTAAACTCGACAATGCCCTCTCAGAGGCCGAGGGTCTTCTTGATCAAATCAAGAGTGATATGGGTCGCCTTGATGGCCAGCCATTGGATAAGAGGAGAGCCCTTGATGCTGAAATTGAAAGAAAGATTTCTTCACTGGAGAATCTTCTCAACAAGATGACAGCTGATCTTAGGTCAGTAACACAGCAGTCATCAAAGAGCTTTTATGAGGGAGAAATAAAGAATTATCGTGCAGAGCATTCCAAAGTCATTGAAGAACTTCGCCAAAAACGTCGTGCTGCCGAGAACGATCCAGCCTTACGTCAGCAACAGCAGCTTGCTAACAACTATGAAAAGTCAAATCAAATTAATGACAACCTTGATGAAGCCATCCGCACTGGTAACAACACTCTCGCCACGGGCAATACAATTATGGCCACACTTGTTGATGACCGCAAGCATCTCGAGCATATCGACTCAAATCTTGACAAGATCGACCAACAGGCTGAACAAGGCAACAAGACAACCAAGGACATGCTTCGCCGTGCTTGCTGCAACGGTGTTATTGCTTGGATCATTGTCATCCTTTTAGCTATAATATTCTTTGCTTCTCTTGGATATAAGATTCATAAGAATAATAATAAATCAAAATAATCAGTATTTACCTCTTTTAAACATGAGTAATTTACCAAGAAACTAACATTTTTTATTAAAAATAAATAATATAAAACAAAATCTCTATGAAAAATCAATTCTCAATATTAATTGGCTCTAAATCTTCAAGATCCCTGATGAATGTGTTTTGACTAAACCAAATTGCGAATCCAACAATTCCGCCAACAATTAAAACAAGAATAACGATAATCAAGGATGTAGATGAGTTCTGTGGATTGAGTATATGTATTAAAATGCTTGTTGCACGTGGGGAGGCTGATCCAATGGCCCAGCAGTCCCACGTTGGAGCAAATTTAAGTTTATACTTTCTACCAGCCGTCATAAACTTACTGCCTTTGTCCGAAACCTTTAGTTCGCCAAATATCGCTTGTTCAAATTGGAAATCAAACGAACATTCAATGAGAAATACCTGGTAAGTGCCTTCCATGCAGTGGAAACACTGGTTATCGAAGAATATGAATCTGGTGAACACAGCTCTTGATTGTTCGATAACAACCACAGAAGAAGATTTGTTAACAGCTAAAGTGTTGTTATATATATTACAGTAGCTCAGCGTGAAGCCATCCTCAATCAAATGAATCCAAATGAGGTTAGTTCCACTGCTTTTCGTAAATTCGCAAAATTTCAAGTTGAAAATTGTTGGATATGAAGTAATCATCGCAGATGATTCTTCGCGAACGTGGTTGTTGGTGAAGTTCGAATTAAGAAAAATTTGCATTCCGCCTGTTAAAAAAACAGCTCTTTTCTGTCCTTGTGATTGTTTTGGAGAACATTGGCAAATGAATGTTAGGTTAAAGGTATTATCGGCTGCTTCATCTCGTGCATATTTTCTCACGTCGGAGTGAACGGCTTGATCTGAGTTTAGAGCGAGACATCCGTAAAAACACGTTTTGTATGCAAGGTAAGAGTAGCAATTGAGATAAACTGCGCCACCTGCTGTATGAGATGCACATAACGAAAACCCACAGCAAAATGTAAAAAGAGAATATCGATAACTTTTCAAACAAATGGCGCCACCTTCTTTTTTGGATGTAATATCTGTAAATGTGCAGTATAGAATCTCCAAATCTTCATCTGGTTTTTCTCTTAATCCTGTGTTATATCGAGTATTATTAAATTTCTTGTCGTTTATAGAAATTACTGTATTTAAGATCATATTAAAGCGAGATTTAGTAAATTTTATTTGACTATCTGATGCAAACGATGAAAAAAATGGTGAAAAGCTCCGAAAATAGGAAATCTTGTGAAAAAACAAATAATTCTTGAGATAATTTGAAGGTTCTGTATATAAGGAACTTTGGGAAAGAGATTGCAATGAGAGATATTGCAAAGTGATGTTCCCAAACATCTGAAAAAAATCTCTTTAATCAACGATAAAAGAATTTTGGTCGGAAATGCACCCTGAAAAATAACACTCAATCCTAATCAACAGCAAAATCCTTTTCTTATTGCAAACGAACTGTACAAGCGTATGACAAAAGCAGTTGTTGAAAACGATGTCAACACAGTAAAAAATTTGATAATTAATCTTAAGGAAGATTTCAAAAAGACAATTTTTACAATTCCCATTTTAGATTCACCCGATGCTGCAACACATAAACAGACATCTCTACTTCTCTCAACAACAGGATTAAGCTTGCTTCATATTGCTGCTTTTGAGGATTCCTTGGAAACATTTATTCTTTTAGAAAATTATATCCCAATTGATATTAAAAGTGCAGATTCTTATTTACCAATTCATTACGCATGTCTTAATGGTTCAGTCGAATGTTTGACGTATATTCTTGTTAGAAATCCAGAACAAGCTAAAATTATTTACAAAACGGAATGGCAATGCCTCCAGTTAGCAACAGCCGCAAATTCTCCTGAAGTTCTCCAAATTTTATTTGATTACCACGCAGATTTGAAAGCTGTTATGAATGGAGCCAACGACCCTATTGGGCGATCAATCAAGCAGAAAAATGTCGAATGTCTCAAACTTTTATTGAAACATTGTCCGATGTCATTAAGAAATACGCAAAACATGACACTAATTATGCTAGCACTTATTAACAATAAACCAGATGCGATACCTGTACTGATCGATGCAGGCGTTGATCTCTCATTTATCTCCTCAGACAACCAAACTGCTCTTTCTCTGGCGTGTTTCCAAGGACAGGTCGAAACTGTGCGACTAATATGCCAAAAACTGGATAATATAGATCTCCCACCTACAATAAAGTCTAAAGCTGCTGTTCATTGGCTCTGCGAATCCAAAAGTCCGGAAATAGCAAGAATAATCCTAGAAAAGGATATAGATGTAAATAGAGTAGACAAAGACGGACATCTTGGTCCTTTTTACCTTCTTGATGTTGCAGAATCAGATGTTCTAATAGAAATATTAGAGTTATTAGTCAACGCCGGGCTGAAAATAGATAGTGTGGCTAATCCAAGCATGAACACCCTTCTAGGTGACTATGTTACAGGAATTAAAAAGCAATACGAGGTTATTGACTGGCTTTTAAGTCAAGGAGCAAACATTGATGCCCCTCTCAGAGGTATATCCAATGAACAAACCATTGCAGACTTTATTCTGGATTTGATTTCAAAGGATATGAAAGAATCCTCCTTAGGATTGATGAAAATAGCCCAAAAATGGATTCCTGAGAGACTTGGGAAAATTAGAATGCAAAATTAAAAATTATTTATAATAAAATCATAATTTTCATTTTATAGTATGAGACTTTTGTATTAATCGATGTATTAAAAAAAAAAAAAAAAAAAAAAGGTAGTGGGCTTTCCAGGCCACTTTCGTGCCCTCTAGCCCCGAAGATGTTTAGTATAAATGAAGTTTTTATTCGGAAAATTGTTAGTCTTCTGGTGTGAATTCGGAGGACTCTTCTTCTTCCTCCATTGCTTCTGGGAAGAAGCCTTCTTCTGGGTCGAAAACATTATATAATGTGTCGCTTTTCACAAATTATATATGTTTTCATGCTTTGTCACTTTTCTATCACTTTTCGGGTAAAAACATTTTTATTATTATATATAAATGAATTTTACAAAACCTCCGTTACCGTTCTTTGGAAATAAGAGTAAATGTAAAGATATTATATTGAGAGAACTTAAGAAACTACCGAATGGTCTAACATTTGTAGATTTGTTCGGTGGAAGTTTCTATATATCCCATTTGTGCCATACAATATTCCAGACTCAAAGATTATATGCAATGACTTCGACAACTATATGGACCGTCTCAAACATATTCCAGACACAAACAATATATTGAAAGAGTTAAAAGAAAAGATACCTATAGGTAAGATGGAACGTATACCATTAGATAACAAAAATATTGTGAGAGAGGTTTTGAAAAAAGCAGAATATATAGACTGGGATAGTATATCTGCTAGACTATTATATAGTGGTTCTATAAGAGTATAGATCCGTATTTTTCCCAAGTGAGCGGGGTATCTCCAATCCCAGCCCTATCGTCCTCCCAGTGTCAGTTTTCAATATAAAATCCAAATTTTTTTTGAAAATAAAAATTTCGAGAAATTTTTCTGATTTTTTTTCTTTGATTTCAATAATTCAAAATAAATTTGGGAGTAAAAAGACACTATTTAATGAAATTCATATGAGTGAATGTGGATAAATACTCTCAAAACATACAATTTATCTATTTTTTCTTTATATTATCAACTAATTAGTGATAATTTTTTTTGAATCAGATTTTTTTTCATTAAAAACATAATATATAACACAACAATGATGCACACATACGTATCTACACATCAAAATATAAAGCTTGTTTTGGTCTGGGCATCCCAACCCAAAATTCTTTAAAAATTGAATAAAATTGAATACTTGGGGCTGGGATGCCCATCCCAAAACCGAATTGAATTTTTTGAATTAAAGAATATATTTATGTATTTATAATATACATGTGATGTCTATAAAAAATACTAAATTCTAAAAAAAATTCAATTTATTCAAAACGTATACTAAGTGATCACTTCATTAGTAGGATCAGCAATCCTACTAAATGGTGAGAACGCCACTAACTAAAAAAGGAGTCCTTGGAGCTCTTGATCTCTTGTCAGTAGAGTTCATAATGAGGCATGGCATCTACTGATTAGAGATCAGAGCAATCCTACCTTACCTTCAGGAGCTACAAAGCTCCTAATCGTTACGAGAGGGAGTCTTGGAGCTCCTGAAGCTCATCAGCAGAGGCTATTTACCATTTGGGCCTCTTCTGATGAAAGATGCGAAACACGTCTACGAACCAGGAGCTTCAAAGCTTCTAATCCTTACTAAAGGGAGCTTTGGAGCTCCTGAGTCTCCATCAACAGAGTCCCAGATGGTAAATGTCCTTTGCTGATGAAAGATGCGAAACACATCTACGAACCAGGAGCTCCAAAGCTCCTAATCCTTACGAAAGGGAGCTTTGGAGCTCCTGAAACTCCTTTTACTATAAAATATGACAGTTTTCTTCTGAGGTTCTCATCAAATCTAAGACTTCAGAAGAAAGCTGTCCTATCAATGTATACTTACACTCTCATGGACTACAAGTGTACAATTTTAAAGCAGAGATTATCCGAGGCCTCTCATCAAATGAGGGACCTCGGATAATCTCTACCTTAAGTAGTCAAATAACTTTTCTCACTATTTAGGAACAAAAGAACAAGAGTTGGAGTACTTTAAGGCAAGATTCTTCCGAAATCTCTCATCGAATGAGAGACTTCGGAAGGACCTTGCCAAATCCTTGAACGCCAATATCCTTGGAACTGAGCTAGAACCAGGGAGAAGTAGCATACTATAGAGCACGATGGTAATCTCGGAAATACTTATATCGCCCCAAGCACAATATTTAAGAAGTCTAACTCATATATACAAGAAGTCAGGCTGAATAGATATTGTGCATATGGTTTGCAGAACTCTCATGATATTTAAAATTCATGTTATCCCAAAAAAGGTGACACTTTGGGTGTATCGTCCATCCCAGGGATGCAAAAATCACATCACCTTGGATCTATAATAAGAGTTCATGACATTGAAACACTTATGTCAAAAGTTTTATATCTTAACTATACAAATGTTTTCAAAGAGGACATAGAAAAATATATTGAGGGTATAGAGTTTGTGAGATGTTATTGGACAGAGTTGTATGAAAAATATAAAGACAAGGAAAATGTTTTCTTTATAGTGGACCCGCCGTTCTATAACACATGGGATTTTCAATACCAAGTAGACTGGACTTTGAGAGACTCTTTAGAAACTTTAGACGTTTTACATAACCATCCATGCTTTTACTTTACATCCGATAAAAGTGGTTTGGAAAGTGTCATGAAATGGTTAGAGGACATACATGACTATGAGTTTAGATATGACAAGATAGAATATGAGAGAGGTCCTATAAACCGGAGAAAGTGTCATAACAAAGAAATTTTATTAGTAAGTAAATGTGGTTTGAAATAGGACTACTTGTTTTTAGGTTTTTTCCATTGTGTCATTTATTTATTTGACGTGGCAGAAAGATATAGAGAATATGAAGATGAACCAATGCCTGCAAATGTTCAGTATATGTACTCGTAAGAGATATTTTTATCTAATATTAAATGGACGCACAGAACTTAGCGAATGCACAGCAACCTGGACAACCAAACCCAGAGAATATTCCAAATGAAGTTAGAATACAAACTGCAATGGCAAACTATGGTCAAGTGCCAACAGATGTACAAATGCAAACTGCCATGTCAAATGACGCTGCGTTAGGTTTGCCACCATGGTATGCAAATATGAGATGGAAAGAGTTTTATACAAACCCTGAAGTGGGATATAAACAACTTTATGCAGATGACGCGAACACAGGAGTTGACCCAGAATATGTTTTCTACCAGAGGAGAAACAGAATGTATGAGCTCCAGTTAAAGAATGCTATGGAACTCAACAGGAAACGTAAGAGACTAGGCGACATTAGATTTTTACATATAGTAAAATGGGTTTCTTCAGTAAGATAGGAAACTTCTTTCGAAATGTTGGAAGAGGTATATGGAATGGAATAAAAACCGTAGGAAGAGGAATTTGGAACGGAGTCAAAAATATTGGTAAAAGAGTAGGTCAGTTTGTTGGTATTATACCTAAAGACCCTGAACCAGAAGAGCAAGCTCCTGTTATACAACAGCCTGAACCTGCACCACAGTCTAGTTGGCAACCAAATCCAACACCTCAACCGTATTAAAAAGTTATATTTTTACCGTTCGATAGTAGTTGTATATGAAACTAAGTTCTAAGTAAAACGCATGGTATAATGGAATTATTCTTTTTCTTCCATCTGTAGTAAACCATACTTGAAAGTCTGAAATACTTCCACTTGGTGGTTCGTATAACTTTGTAGGTTTTTCGTAAAAATCATTCATCAGACATAAGAAAGAGTTTTGCGCACCAGAAAATGAAGCATGAACAATAATAGCATCTGGGTCGAAAATATTTTCATATGTTCCATTAGGGTTTTCGACTTCATAAAAGTCTGGGTGTACTGGATATGCTGCAGGCTGATTTAACATCCTCATAAATCTATACCATGCCAAGTTGTTATATTTTGTAGAAATAAACGTTTTCTCCAAGGTCTTCTATTCTATTGATTTTAACAGTTGCATTTTTCCTGTCATAAATAATATCGAGATGGTATTCTCCTTCGTCAATGTTATACTGTTTTGCATATTCGATATAGATATTGTTTATTTTTTCTTGAAAAGCTTGAAGAGTTGTTTCTAAGTTTACAAGCAAACTAACTTGTAAAAGTTTTCCCTGTTCAAATTTCTCATACATACGTTTTTCTTTGTTATAGTATCGAACTTCAAAACCGACCGTAAATGGGAAACCATGTATGGCTTCTGAAATGAACTTCATTCTACGAAAGCCAATAGCTTTTGTGACAGATGGGTCTCTTAGCCATCTTAATGGGTAGTCAAAACGATAGCCTTCATGCTTTACGGTCTCTGTCTCAAACTTTTGACCGACATTAGTAAAAAGTTCATCTAATGGTTTAGTTGTAGCAACTCTTGAATTTTCTTTTTCTATTGAAAGCATATTTTATCTAGAATAAAAATGTCGAAAGATATTGCTTCCATGAGAGAAATACAACACAACCGACAACTCATTATGCAAGCTCTAAATAAGAACACAACAAACTTTTCAAACTATTCTAAGATATCTGAGTCATTGAAAGAAGGAAACTTAAAACTGACAATAAACCCAATGACAGATGAGTTTCTATTTCAAGACAAGAAGAACAATACTGTCTGTATAAATCCAACAAAAGGAACTTTAAACGAGAAACTATAAATGAACTTCTTTTGAAAGCAGATGTTGACAACAAAGCTGACAAAGAATATGTAGACGATGCAATAGCAAAAGAAGAAGAAAGAGCTAACAATGCTTATGCAACAAAAGAACATACTCATCCTGAACTAGCAGACAAAACATATGTTGACAATAAAATGTCAAGTGAAGTGACAAGAGCTGAAAACGAATATTCTAAAAAGACTCATACACATTCTATATCTGAAATAACAGACTTACAAGAAACCTTAAACAGTAAAAGTGCCGTTGGACATACACATACATCTTCTGAAATAACAGACTTAAGCGTTAGCCTTGAGAAGAAAGCAGATAAGAACCATACACATACAAGTTTTACAA